TGTCCATTCCATGGTGAACATACCTTACCAGTGTTGTTGTCCCCCTATATACCTATCAACTGCCTGACTGTGGTCAAGGGTCATAGTCTTGGGTACCTCTAGTCTCCTACATTTTCTGCCACTCTATCTGGGACCTTCTAATGTGATCCCTTTCAGAGAAGTTGGTAGTGGTAGCTGGGCACCATCAAGATCTTCTGTTCTCAGAGTCACGGAGATTGACTGTGCCATTAGTTCACTGGATTCCACGCACCTTCATTTCTCATCACTCTTCTTTCTTCCTCAGATGGAGAGACGAATGGTTGTACTTTAGATGGGCATTCATGAGTTTTTGGATCTCAGATGCTGCTCATTAAAAACAGGATGTAAAACATTGTCTTTGTGGACTGTTTTGACTGGACAGAGCTTTATTCTATTGTACATAGGTTCACTGTGAGTCAGAACCAACTGAATAACACCTAATAACAACAATATACAACACTGGTTCTAATACTGACCCACATGTTTCAGCCATCAGTGACTTTGTATTTATCTAATCTATCCCCTACTACGAAGTGTCACATAATGTCATATCTGGAAACTAGGCATGCAGTGGCTGTATAGAATAAGCACTAGACTGCGAACCACAAGGTCAGAGGTTCAAGCCCACCAGCTACTTTGTGGAAAAAAGATGAGGCTATACAGGGTCACATGAGTCACAACTGACTCAACGACACTTAACAACTACAACATATGGAAAATAGTTGCAATCAGATCATAGCTGATGTTAAGATCAAAGAGAAGCAGACTAAATTTTCTTATGAAAATCATTCTCAAACTAATAATTTTTATATGCTGCAATATTGACAGTAAGTAAGCAAATTTCAATTGTATACAGCAGTAAATATGCATGAGTACACTATATAGATAATCTCATATATATATATGCAATACATTAAGATTATATGTATCCTTCACTAACAAAACAGATACCAGGATTATTTCTAGAAAACCGAAGTAAGTGTGTAAGTAGACTGAGATGAAAACTCATGTTTTATTCCATACTATTCTATACTGTGTTAATTTTTATAGTCAAAATGTATTTTTGTATTGCTTATATTTTAAAATGAACCATAATTGCACTGATATAGTCCTTACAGGCACAAGGGACACATTATACTCTGTAATATCCCCATAGCCTCTCCCAGACTACTCAATTAAAGTGATAGCCCCACACATCAATGCTAAGCCAGTGAGTCAAAATTATGTTCCCCTGGGGTACACATACTATAAATTTTATGCTATAAATTCATATCCTCCTTATCAATTTCTATTCCAAGTGCTTTTGCCGCCTGTTTATAGTTCAGTTTGTCAATGTAATTTTGCACTGCTTTGTAGGAATCCACAATAATTACAATGTTTAATGCTATAGTTTAAGGTTGAGCTAAACAGAGCAGTTTAAATGCATATGTTTTGGTCAATCTTTGACTCCTGCCCATCTTTACACACGAAACACATACACATGTATGCACACATGGACTAGCTGGTGTTATGTATGATATGTTTCACTATGTTTTCCTTCCACAGTATTTCTAAAGATGACACTGCCATAGATGCTACAGTAAACAACTAATGAATGTAATAAATATCCATGCACTGTAATGAACCAAATTATGTGCCCATAGACAAACTCTGCTGCTCAGTATAATCAGGTAATGGTTTTATTTATTTTTTCTTTTAGTGTATACAAAAGGAAGCGGTATCATTGGAGGGAACATAATTCATAAAAAACAGGGTTGAAAGTAACTTTACATCATTAAGATTAGAAAGGAAGCTCATTAAAACATTATTTCAGAAGTAATATAATTCTTGCGTCCCACATGTAGGCTTCTTAACTTCATATTCACTGACTCATGTAACTCAGTTCCACATGAATAAATAGCTAAAACACCACCACAACTTTACTGAATGCTATCCTGTAGGAAAAGCATGGGTTTGTTTTGTTTTTGCTTTTTGTTACTGTTGCTGTTAATGTAAATCTGGAATCTCTTTTACTTTCACAGGAAATGTTATAAGTAACTTCATATTTTTTTTTTTTTGTTGTTTGTCCCTTGTGGATAGAGTTAATCCTTTTAAAACAAACAACAACAAAAAACAGGAAATGTAAGGAGATGATGATAAACAATGAGAAAGTAGACCTAATCCAAATGTTAGTGCAAAAAGTTAAATTGAGAATTCCATGAAGAGGTAGACATCTGGAGTCTGACTGACTTCCTGTTGTTAGCTGCCATTGACTCACGATGGCTCCATGTGTTACAGAGTAGACCTTCTCTGTGGGTGTTTCTTCCCTATCATCTTTACAAAAGAAGTTCATCAGAGTTTCTTCAAATGAACTGTTGGATGAGTGTGAACCACCAATTTTTAAAGGTTAGCACCATTCAGGCTGCTGAGTGAGAGTCTAACCACCTGAGCTTATTTCCGAAACTCAAGTACTGTTGTTGTTAAATGCTGATAGGAACTTTGGGAGGTTCTTCTGTGGAGCTCAGTTTCCTTATTAATATAATAACAGTACCTGAAGGATAAGCACTGGACTGCAAAACATAAGGTTGGAGGTTAGAGACCACTAGCCACCCAGCGGGAGGATGAAGCTATCTGTTCCTAGAAAAATACTCAATGGTATTTAACAACAACAATCTTTACAGGATTCTTTTAAAGACCATTGTTTTTGTTGTTAAGTGCCTGTAGATGGTTCTGACTCATAGAGACCCTGTATAGGGTTTCCAAAGAGCTGCTGGTGGGTTGGAACTGTTGATCCAGCAGTTAGCAGCAAGTGCTTAACCTATAGCACCACACCAGGACTCCTTTTAAAGATTAAATGGAATAAAACAGCACTTGGTAAATGTCTAATAATGTTAGTAATTATTATTAGCACAGATTAGGAAATTGAGGCCTAGAGAGTTTAAGTGGTTTACACAGGATAATTTTACTAATGAATGGTGGAATTATCACTAGAATCTGGGGCTCCTAAATATTTTTTTCTTTTGGCTTCTTTTCCTTTGGGATCATTCTATTTGTAGCCTGGGGTCCTGTTATGGTGCTGTAGGATAAGCAATTGACTGCTAACTACAAGGTCAGTGGTTCAAACCCACCAGCCACGCCTCACAAATTCTATAAAGCATAGTTATAAATCAGCACTTAACAACAACATTTGTAGTCTAGAGATTACTTTCAAAGGACAAAGTGAGATGGTAGAAAATTCCTTAGATAAGCCTGGCCTAGACTTAAAAGGAAAAGAGCTTTGCATGCACATACCTATATACCAAAATAAGAAACACAAAGGATGAGTAGGGGGCAAGTAACACAGACACAAGCCTACCAATTAGTTTTATATGAGGCAACTCATTAGAACATAATTATATTCATTACTGAATAATTCATCTTAAGGCTACAAGAAAAGGTCATGCTGAATTTTAATTATACCTCTTTAAAAGAATTTCAAAGATGTTAAAGAAGTTACTCTCATAGACTGTTGGTAGGTGTAAACTACTTCAAACTCTTGGAAAGTAATTTGGCATTATATTTAAAAATTCAAGGTGTATAGATCCTTTCACTAGGCCATACCAGTAAGAAGAATCTATCCTACAATTAATTTGAAAAAGTATGCAAAATATGCATAAAATGATGCTTGGTTCATTGTTGGCAAATCAAAATGTAGAAACAATTTAATCATTCATGAATAGAGAAATTACAATTATGAAGCAGTCATAGAATGTAATACATGGGAGGATAGAGAAAGTTTCCCCCAGATATAATTAAAGAAGAAAAATAAAGGTATACTAGAATGTGTGCCAAAGTAGCCAATACCTGTTTGAAAAGCAGAGGATATAAATATGAATAGATATGAATATATTTGCACAAGAAAATGCCAAAAAGACACTCGAGAAGTTTAGGAGTGATTATCTCTGGGAAATGGGATTTAAGACAGGGGCCTAGAAGATATAGAGGTGACATTTATTTATTCTAGATTGTGTGTATGTATATTTTTCCTATTACTATTACTACTTTCCTAAGGTGCTATAGGATAAGCATTTGACCTCAAAGTCTCTATGAGTCAGAGCAGACAGGACAGCACTTAACGACAACAAACAACATGTACATTTAAGCAAGGTGTGGAACCCGCTACAGAATGAGTTTGGCCTTTGACCCTGGTTCTTGAGAGCCAGATCACACCCAGGGCCCTATCAGACTAAGCCTTAGCAGCTTAATATAATCTGTCAGGGAGACCTGGAGAGACCCATAAAAGCTTTGGATGAGACTCAGTGGCACTTCCTGGGTGGTGAGAATGAACATTTGCTCTCAGGAGGGTAAGTGTGTCCCCACAGGACATGGAAACATGGCACCCAGACCTCTCACAGACCTCTTCTAGGGGTTTATATCCATATTTCTAATATATGAGTCCTTCCAAGGGATTATCAAACTGACATATGATAGAAAGGGCCAAAAACCATTACCCTGGTGGGAGGGTATCAGAGAGAGAAGGACTCTGGAGCAGCTGGGATCTGTACTGATCAAGAAAGGAAGCAGAGATTTCCACAGAGCTCAGGTAGCTTATAAGGAATCCTGGTGTAGCGCTGTGGGTTAATGTGCCAGACTACAAATCCATTTGAACTGCATGGTTGGCAGTTCAAGCTCATCATCTGCTCCTCGGAAACCCTATACAGGGTCACTATGGGTAGAAATTGACTCAACAGCACTTAACAACAACAGTTAGCATGGGATTCATTATCTACCACACATTTGGTATCAGAGGTGAGTAATCTCAGCCTTTCTAGACAAATACAATACAATGGTGATGACACAGGGATTCACTTGAGTGGTCTTGATAGCTCGATATGTTAATTTTTAAACTGAAGGGAAAATAGCAGTTAAAATAAATTTTAAAAGTTAAATAGAGTAACAGATTAAGGTAAAACAAATTTAAGAATACAGAGTTTGAACATTTCATCCAAGCTGAACGTTCTTACCTGACACTTGGCACTACAGTATTTGGCGACTCTACACTGAGAACATCGTAGCAACTTTTCCTTCCTGTTAAAAAAATTAATTCCACATTAGGAAATGAGTGACAATCAAATATAATGAAATGAAAAAAGCATGAGTCATATATAATACAAGGAAAGGAATCAATATATTGATGTCAGCATGTTCTGATCACTCCAAATGTATTTTGTTGTTGTCAATTGCTGTTGAGTTGGTTTCAATTCATAGCGACCCTATATAGCATTTCCAAGGAGCAACTACTGCGTGTGAACTTTCAGCCTTGTGGTTTCCAGTCCAGTGCTGATCCTACAGCATCACAGGAGTCCACATGTATAAACCCCTAAAATTCACCTTTTCACATTGATGAACATCCTCTTTTACCATCAATGTGAGATGTTTACACAATAACTATGTTCTTTTAACATAAACTTCATTTAAATACTAAGAGATTCCTTTTAGACAAAAAATTTCATTTCACAGAAAAGTTAGTTTCTCTATATTTAATTCAGATCAAGTCTATTAACTAGTTGAAAGTTATACTCTTTAAATATAAAATTCTTATGTTGACATTAAGGCATAGTTTAATTATAAAAAATATAATTTTTCTGTGAAATATTATTTAAATTCCACTAAATTCAATTTTTACTTTAGACTGCTAAGTTACGATGCTCAAACGATTTTACTCTTATATCACCTGAGTAACAACAACAAAAATGAAAACTGTCAACAATAAATGTAATGATAAAATTGGTAGTGACAAACACTATAGACTGGGGACACATGTCGTTCAAGGTGGCTAAGAGCATGCAAGGAGTCCTGGTGTGGTCCTGTAGGATAAGCACTGGATGACAAGGTTGTTTGAATCCACCTGCTGTGCCTCAGAAACCCTATGTAGAGTCACCATGAGTCAGAAGTGACTCCAAAGCACTTAACAAGAGCATTCAAAGTCAAGTTAACATCAAAGGCAAAATAAGAACTGTTTTTAGGCATTTCTGATGAGCCAGGCACTGCTCAGGTCTTTTATATCTTTAAACTCACTAAATTTCAAATAGTCCTATAGAGTAAGCAGTCTTATTATGCCCACTTTTAGGGATATTTAAATATATTTTTAGGAGACAAGAAGTAGATGGAACCGGGGAAACTGACTAAAGAACCACACCATGAATTTCATGTGGCAGGTGATACTGAAAGGATAGGAATAGAATCCCACAGTGAATCAGAATGTGAATATATCAGATACCTGGGAGAGAGGAGTGTGGTATGGAGCATAAAATCTGGGAGGATTTTAAAAGGCTAAATAAAGCAAAGTCTAATTGCCTCCTACCCCCGAGTATAGATCTAGTAGACAGATAGCAAAACCACAGACAACAAATCAAACCCAAGAAGTTTGACCTTAAAAATCTTGCTCTTAACATACATATGTTATACATACATATGTTATACATAACATATGTATGTATAACATACATATGTTATACATATGACTACAAGGAAGACCAGTTAATACCACTATTATTCAAATTTACACACCAACCACTACAGTCAGTGATGATGAAACTAAAGAATTCTATCAAAGAGCTCTGGTAGAGTAGTGGTTACAAATTGGGCTATGAACCTTAAGGTCAACAGTTTGAAATTACCAGC